TGGGAAAGGCCACCCTGAATGCATAAACTGAAGTGATGATATAGTTTATAATTGAACACAGTCAGACTATAGTGAATGACAAAAGAATGGGTTACCTCTAGCCACTACAAACCTGGCCAGAATACATGTCTACCAGGTATATTATCAAAATCTGTAATTATATTACAGAATAATTGCTGAACGAATGTAATTCCTTTGTGTTTTTTTTTCCCATCAGCAGTTTGCCATCAACTGGGGCTTGCTCTGTAAGATAGCAAGTGATCCTCCTAGGCATAGAGCACTCTTTGCAAGGTGATACTGTAGGAATGTGTAGGAACAAATACCACACATTAATATACATTGCATGATTGAGCTCTCCTATTTTGGGGTTTCCATCCTCCCCTTAGCCCCCTCCCCCATTAAATTCTAAGTAATGTAACACAGTTTACCTCCAGTGACTTCAACAGGGTTATGGCATTTATACTAGTTAAGGATCTATCACACATAATTTGGCTTATACACAGGATGTGGTGGTCACTCTGGATTCTCTTTGCCTGGATATACGATAGCTATAAACAGGAAAAAAAATCCAGCTTCTACTAATAGGACTTCTACTATGGTTTAAACATTAGACAACACTGCCCTTCTCTGGCACACTCCCTCTAAAGCTGAAGGACAAGACTTAATCTCTTAGGCTAAGTACAGACAGTCAAAAAGCCAGACGCAGAATTCATAGATTCAGTTTTCACAGGTTTCTCTAAACTGCACAGATTTATCAGATAACAAACTGAACTGACATTCAGTTTTCAGTTGGGAAATGCAGACGGAGGCCTGCACAGACCCAGACCAGAAGGCAGGGGGTGCTAGGGCGTACCTCCCAGCTTTCCCCCATGGAGGAAAGAGCCTCCCTCCTGGTGCTGGCTCCCCCCCCTCTGCCCCCCCGAGCCAGGCATCTGGGATACCTCCAGTCCTGGTCTGCCCAGCTGTGGGGGGTGCGCAGAGAGTAATTCTACCCTGCAGGGCAAGGCTGGCATGAGTCCCTGATGCACAGGGGAGAGGGGGAAAGGCACCCCCCTCCTGGGGCTGGCCCCCAGCCCAGCATCTTACCATGTTGGGGGAGCCCTGAGCTGTGCTGGGGGCGTGATTAGCCCCACACATCTGAGCCAGTGTGAATCCCTAATGTGCAGGGGGAAAGGGGAAACAAAGCCCCCCACCCTGGTCTCAGGCCCCAAACTGGGGACTTCCCAGTTGGAGGGGCTGGGCCTCGGGAGGGTTTCTTGCCCCCTTCCTGCCTGGCCGGGTTGGCTCCATAGAAAGAAGGTTTGGGCCCCACCACCCAGCACAAGCCACTGGCCCTTCTGGCATGTTTTGCTGTCTGCTGCTGGTGTGGGGCTTCATCAGGATATGCCAAGCAGCCCAGGGTCCTTCCGCTGAGCAATGGGGCCCAATCCTTCCTTCTATGGAGTTCACTCATTCCCACTGCCCTGTGTAAGACCCCCGAGTTACCTGGTGCATCCTGATGGAGCCCAGCACCAGCAGCAGCTAGCAAGACCCAAACAAAGCTTGTGCTGGGCAGTGAGGCCCCATCTTTCTTTCTATCAAGCTGGCCCACATGGACAGGGAGGAGGAACTCCATGGGGCCCAGCCCATCCCAGCTGGGAAAACCCTAGCTGGGGGTGCTGAGATGCAGATGGGGGGCTTTGTTCCTCCCTCCCCACTGTGCATTAGTGACTCGTGGCAACCTGGCCACAGAGGGGGCAGGAATCACCCTCGCAGCTGGGCAGACCAGGGCTAGGCAGACCTGGGCAAACCCCCTGGGGTTTCCCCCAGGTGGACAGACACCGGATTTGGGGGCCAGCTGAGGGGGAGGGGGGGCGGCCCTTTCCTCCTTCCCACAGCAGGTCAGTTACTTCGGTCAGCCTGTCCTAGGAGAAGGAGGCAACTCTCACAGACCATGGCTCGGGGGCGGGGCTCGGGGGGATTCCCCTGCTTTCCACCCCACCCTATCCCACTACCCTGCGGGGCTGACAGGCGCAGTCAGGACCAGGCTGGGGAGCAGAGGCTTTGCTGCCTCAGCTCTATGACAGCCGTGTGGTGGGGCTGGCCGCAGTTCAGCCGGACCAGACAGCACAGGCAAGGTTAGCCCACCTGCCCTGCAAGAGGGGCTAGTGAAGGGCCCCAATGCATCCTGGGATGCTGGGGGACTGGGACATAACTTGAGTTGGGAGGGGATCTGGGACAGTAGTTCCTCAGATCAGTTAACCTAAATCAGTTAAGTCTGATCCTACATTGATCCAGGTTTATTTTAAACCAGGTTTGGCCATTTTGAAACAGGTTTATATGCACTGAACTTCTATTCTGTGACAGGTTTAAACTGTAACAAACTGTTTGAGAGAGCAGATTTAAGTTAGGTATCAGGAAGAACTTCTTCACGGTAAGGGTGGCTAAAATTTGGAATGGGCTCCCAAGGGAGGTGGTGCTCTCCCCTACTTTGGGGGTCTTTAAAAGGAGACTGGCCAAGCACCTGGCTGGGGTCATCAGACTCCAGCA